TTTAATTGTGTATCTTGATACAGAGCCCAGAAAAAAGGAGAGTTATGAAGGCAATGCCTGGAGAACCAGCCCCTCCCAGCATTTTCAGGAGGCACAAGTGAGCCAGGGAAGACATGTAGTGTAGCTCTGCCCCGCAGCTCTTGGCCTAGGTGCTGCAGACATCCACATGTCCCCAGGCCTTCCCATGGCCACTTGTCTATACCCCAGAATCAAACAAGTATCAACAATATCACAGAAGCAACAGTTTTATGACCTTAAACACTTAGCAGAAATAGCCTAAACCTATTTGACTAGTAGACCCAGGCAAAAATGTCTAAATTAAATTCTGAAAATATTTCTGTTTTATTTTACCAACAATTTTAAAACTAGCCATATTTACCAAAGATGACTAAAGTCACATGAACTTGAAAAGCATTTGGGCTTATTTACTAAATTTATGAGAACTAATTTACTTATAAGTCAGTTTGGTACCATGTAGACAGTATACAAACTCAGACGTGTACACATGTATACATACAAACACAGTCAGAAATAAAGATTTCATAGCTTTGATTTTAAAATTTTAGCCATGAGTCAGGTAAAATTCACTAGTTCAAAAGGACATTTGGATTCAAACTGTGCCTTTGTAAATGGAACAAGTTAAAGTGTATCTGTCTCACATGCCTAAAGCCCTCACAAAATTTTAGAGAACAAGGTAGCAAATTTACATTTCAAAGCAGACAGAGAATTTAGCTTTTGTAAAGACCAATGAATTTTACATTATCTTTGGCAAAAATCTTGTCCTCAAAAGGGAAGCAGACCAAGGGAGTATATATGGTTAGCAGGGGTTTAAGAAGAAAGAGATTCAATCAACTGAGAAACTTTTATAGAGAGAACGAGGACTCAAAAAATATGCATGTATGTGTATGTGTGTATGTGTGTATACATATATATCCCAAATATCAGTTGTTCATTAAGTTACCTTTTGACTATAGGGCTCCTAAATCTTTTCAGTCTCTTATCAGATTTTAGCCAGGACGAATCAGCCAATATCCCTGCTTTTGCACTTTTTAATTTTTTACTCTTTTAAACCAAAGATACATTTCCAAGTGACTCACCAAAACCAACATGCCTTAACCAAGGTTATGATTCAACCAGAGACTTGACAGGTATCTCCAAAGAGGTGCAACACAGTCCTCACAAGACCCAGAGCCACCAGAAAAACTTCAAAAGAAGAAAGGTTTTGCTAGCTGCAAATGGGGTACAAGCCCCATCTGTCCTGTCTAGCCACGTTCCCTAAGATCTCAGCTTCTCAGCTGACCATCTATATACAAGGTCCAGACTGAGAATTTAAAGAGACAGTGGGAAAGACAGGAAGAAAAAAAAAAAAAAGCTGCCTGTGGGGGTAGTGCCCAAAGGCAGGAAAATGTGGGAAGGTAAACCTATGGGATGAATAAAGACTGCACCTAGATTCCTTGGCACTGCTGTCTCTGAACCCATTAGCAAGTCTTACAATGGAGCCTATCTTTAGGTGGGAATGGCAGGCAGGAAAACCTTTGTCTTTCTAAATTGCTGTTCTGTCATCAGGGGAAGGGGCAAGCCAGGGGAAGGGGCAGTGTCTCCCTGGATGTTAACCTTCTTCAGCTCCCAATCCCCAGTACTTAGGGGAGGAATATTTTGGTTTCCTTCAGTAGATAGGATTATAAATGAGTATCCGAGACAAAGAATTCAAATTAATTTCTGATAAATGTTTCTTTCCTGAGCAAAAGATATCCACCGAGGAAATAAATGTTGTGGTATGTCCCAAGAGCGTTAACTATGTATCAAACCTGTTCTCAGCTGGAATGCTGCTTAGCTAATACAACGCATGTTAACATTTCCAAGACATGGTAAGATTTACATGTCCAAGGGACTGAGAAAGGTCTGCAGGCAGGTTAGGCATTTAAAGAGTTTTTCTGGGGAGTTTAAGGAGCGCTTTCTAAAAAAAATTCCCAAATCTCTTAATTTGGGGGTGAGATAACTCACCTTCATGCACCTTTTGGTATAAAACTAATAGGAATTGGTCACAAATATTTTAAAGTCCAAATTATAAACAGTAGAAAACAGCTGCAGTTTTAAAAGCATGCTATGTAAAGTGACGTCACCAGTGCCAAACTGCCAGTACCTTGACCTACCTGCCCCAAGGTGGAGAAGGTAGTTTTCCTTTTTAATCACTGATGCCTGAATCACTTGCCTGCAAGGCAAAGATAGAGCCTCCATTCCAGAAAGTGCGCAGTGGAAAGAGCAGCCCAGGTGAAAATCATAGGGCGGTCCGGATTCAGGAGGTCTTGCCCTTTGCACTGCGGGATCCTCTGGAGCTGGGGACCCAGTGTGTTGCTGGTACCAACAGCTGGGTCTGAGAGAAAACACTGAGTCTGAGAGATAACGCTGAGTCTGAGAGAAAACGCTGGGTGCTGGTGTGAGCATCACTCTGAATCCTGCCGACTTAGACCAGATATGTTGGCCTAAAAAATGAAACTGAGGCAAGATTAATGTAGAGAGTTTATTGGGCAAAAGATGAGCCTGACTGCCTAGGACACACTTCCAGGTTGCCTTGGAGAGGATCAGCCATAGTTATAAGAAGGTTTTTAAAGGGAAAGGGGGACAAGGAGTGGGCTGATACAAAGTCATTCCACAGGAATTGTCACTGGTTTACAGAGATGACATTGGTTAGTGATTGGCTATCCCTTGCTGAGCTATAGGGTGGGAGTTACGGTTTCCAGTATGTGGCATTTTATGGCTCCTTGGTGCCAGTTAGACTGGAGCCCACAAAGCAGGTGGCCTCAAGAAGTCACCATTTGATTCAAGGGTGGAGTGAGACATGACTGCTGTGCATTTCCCTGCTTCTCTGGTTCTGATCATTAAAGGGACTTGTATTCCTCAGATACAAAGCCTATTTTCTTTCTCACTGTCCTGAACTTGCTAGAAATATTTTTCGTTTCTCTATACTTTATCTTTCATTTATCACTTTCCTTCTCATTTATTTTACTGTATTTTGCTCTAGACATCCCTTCTTCAGTCTTATCTTTATTGGATAATTTGTTATTGTTGTTTTGTGTTAAATTTTAGCTTCTTGTTTCTCTTGATTTTTATTGTTTGAGGTACTGTGCTAAATGCAGCCTCATGTAGTTTGTCCTCATGTAGCCCCATTTTACAGGGAAGAAACTTAGGCTGAGCAAGTCCAAGCCGAGCCTAGTGCAGGTAAATGCCAGAATTCATAAACACCAGAAATCAAACCCAAGCCTGTCTTTTCAGAGTCCTTGCTGTTAATCACTGGTTTACATTGTATAGTGTGGTATCAATTTCTTTATCAAGAAAAAGGATTGGAAACAAACAATTTTAAAAAATAATTTGTAAAATCCTGTGATGTCAGACAGTCTGCAGAGTCTCAGTGAACAGATGCTAAGAATGGAGAATTATTGAGGCATTTAAAACTTAAGATGACTATTTACTATATCACCCTAAAGGAAAAAAAATTATAGGCATATGTGTATATGTGTATGTGTTGTATGTGTGTGAATGTGTGTATAAAATATCAATAGGAAATATACTTAAAGGGATGTGATACCAGCTAAAATAAATGATAGCAAATATCTTGTTTCCAAGCTTTTGTGTTTTAAAGTTTTTAAAGCATCATAGTTTTATATCAATCTTGACATTATTTATTCTCCTAACACAGCAGTTCTCAAAAGTCCCTAAGAATCACCTTGAGACCTAGTTTAAACATTGGATTCTTGGGTCATGTACCCAAAGATTCTCATTTGGGAGGCCAGGTTGGGGTCTGGAAATTGAATTTTCCAGTTGCACCAGATGATTTTGGTGCAATAGAAATAAATATTATCATTTTTCTTTTCTGGATCATAGGGAATGAGATATTTGGTGAAATTTTTCTCTGCACACCCAATAAATTAGCTGTGCAGTGATTAAAACCTTGAAGTCCTCGGGCTGGGAGCAGTGGCTCATGCCTGTAACCCTAGCACTTTGGGAGGCCGACTTGGGCGGATTGCCTGAGCTCAGGGATTTGAGACCAGCCTGGGCAGCAAGGTAAAACCCTGTCTCTACTAAAATGCCAAAAAATTATCCTGGCGTGGCGGCATGCGCCTGTAGTCCCAGCTATTCGGAGGCTGAGGCAGGAGGATTGCTTGAACTCAGGGGGAGACGGAGGTTGCAGTGAGGCAAGATAGCACCACTGCACTCCAGCCTGGGCAACAGAGCGAGACTCTGCTCAAAAACAAAACAAAACAAAACAAAAACTTTGAAGTCTTCAAAACCTAATTAATTTGCTTGCTGACCTAACTCCATCACTTCAGGCCCACTACTGTTTGAAAATTGCATATTTTCTCTGGGCGAGGTGGCTCACACCTGTAATCCCAGCATTTTGGAAGGCCAAGGCAGGCACATCACCCAAGGTCAGGAGTTCGAGACCAGCCTGGCCAATATGGTGAAACCCTGTCTCTCCTAAAAATACAAAAATTATCTGGGTGTGGTAACGCATGCTTGTAATCCCAGCTACTTGGGAAGCCGAGGCAGGAGAATCACTCAAACCCGGGAGGTGGAGGTTGCAGTGAGCTGAGATCATGCCAATGCACTCCAGCCTGCACACAGCAAGACACTGTCTTAAAAGAAAGGAGGGAGGGGAGGGAGGGAGGGAGGAGGAAGAAGAAGGAAGGAAGGAAGGAAGGAAGGAAGGAAGAAGGAAGGAAGGAAGGAAGGAAGAAGGAAGGAAGGAGATGGGGAAGGAAGGAAGGAAGGAAAACTCGTTCCTATGAGTGTGGATTTCAAAATTGTGATTTCCAAATCAGGGAGCACTTTGGTTCAGGTCTGTTCATAAACTGGCAGAAGTGGCAAAGATAACACCTATTAAGTGAAGGGTTTGCTGCCTTGTGGCCACACTGGCATTTTTGCCTTAATGATCGCTAAGGACTATGTTTTCTGTCTGAACTTTCACCTGGAGATGACATGGCCTGGTGCTTGTGTTCCAGGCTGAGCAGCTTGTGCTGTCGGGTGCAGACAGCGATGAGGACACCTACAGGGCTGCCCCAGGAAGGGGTTTGAACGTGAGTACTAATGCCCCAGCAGGTGCTTCTGCTAATTGCTTGGAACTTCTTCTTGCTTTGCACAGCCTTCCAGATAGTGAAATCACATACTGGTTTAGTTTGGTGGTTGGTTTTTTGTAGTCTAGATAGAGTCGAAAGCTGCCTATTGATATTTTTTTAGTTGCCCATGCTACTTTTGGAATACGTGGAATATTTTAGTTTCTGCTTTTCTATTTGCCAGTCAGCGTGATCAGGAGAAGCCTTTATTAGGGTAATTGAATTCATGCTTCCCGAAACTACCATCATGCATCATAAGGAGTAGCCTGGTGGTTTTGGAGCTACTCAGTCATGTTTTCCAGCCCTGTAGCTCTCAGCTGCTAAACTGTGAGCCTACGCGCTGTTCATGGAGCCTTTGAAAGGATTTGAAACTACCTGTGCCCTTACATTGCGCAGTTGGCATCTGTAAAGTTTCTTCATAGTTTTAAATACTCAAGAGAATGTAATTCATGACATCTTACAAATATTGACATTTTAAATGTATCTAATAAAGTTGGATGTTTACTGTCACCTATTAAAAATTACATGGGACGACTCTTCTGTATTACTAAGAAAGTTTATATTATCACTTTTTCTTGATTTCACATTTCCAGGTCAGTCCCCATATAAAATTTTATTCTATTCAATTCATATTTTATGCTTCAAAGTCTTTAATAAGGACTTTAAGTAAAACATGTTATAAAATTAAAATATCTCTCTAACTTATATTTTTTATTTGATGTGAACATAAAACTGTCAGTAGAATAATATTTTTCTGGGATGAGTTCTCATAAAAATTATAAAATAAATCAAAACAGTATAAATATATTGCAACTGTTGACATATAATTGTTAAACATGGAAAGTAAATTTTTCTTGAAAAGACATTTATTAATAAGATGAAAGACAATTAAAAAATTTTATGTATCTATCGTGTTTGAACATGATTTACTGATAAAACAAGAAAAGCTTCAACATTAATTCTGTGTCTCTTCATTTTTATGGAAGTAAGCCCCCAGGAAACACTTTACATAGATAGTATGTAAGGGTGAAAAGTTCTGTTATAGCAGTGCCTTTCAATTCCTGAAGTCCTCAGAATCTAATATGCCAAAAATCACATAGAGACCTGTCCTCAAAAAGTATCTTGAATGATCCTTTTATGATCCTTGAATAATACCTAATTAGATTATCTTTCAAATTTGTCAATAGCTAAAATTCGGAAGCCATCTGACTTGCAAAGTGATCTGTTATTCATGCACACTGGATATTGACTTCTGGCAGGTATAAGAAAAAAATGCCTTGTTAAGACTCATCAAATGACAATTATACTTAATGCGCTTTTGCTCATAGGCACTCTTGGAGGAAAGAGGGTGTGGCAATGGCTCTTTAAAATTTTCTTAAATTTGATTTCATTTTTAATTGATTCGTAATCATTGTATATATTTAAGGGGTACAATATGATGGTTTTGATACATGTTTACATTGTGTAGTCACCATCAGGAGAAGTAGGAAATCCGTAACCTCAAACATCAATTATTTCCTTGCGGTAAGAACATTCAGAACCCTTTCTTCTCGCTGTTTTGAAATGTGTAATATGTTATTATTAACTGTAGTCACACAACTGTATGATAGAAAGCCACAGACTATCCCTCTTGTCTAACTGTAACATTGTACCTGTTGACCAACCTCTCCCCATCCTTCTTCTCTGCTCTCCAGCTTCTCCCTACTTCTGTGAGATCAACTTTTTAGATTCCACATATGGTAGCATGGACTATTTTTCTTTCTGTGTCTGGATAATTTCACTTAACATAATGTTCTCCAGTTTCATCCACGTTGACACAAATAACAGGATTGTCCTTTTTAAGACTAAATAATATTTTGTTATATATATGTATATATATACATATCACAGTGTCAGTCAGGTTTTGTTTCAGAGCTAAGTTAATTATCAAGTTTTCTTAGAAAAATAAGCAAGGATAGGGAAAACTCTGAAAAGCATGAGGGATGGGTAAGCCTTACCAGTGTTTAAAATAGCTTTTAACACCTTTAAAATTACAGTAATTATTACAATTACACTAGCTCAGTGAAGCAGAATAGAACATGTAGAGCCAATCATATAACGAAGCATGGTGTACAACAGGGTCAACACAGCAAATCTGGAGGGGGAAGTAAACTGGTAAGTAGAACTGTGATCATCGAGTAGCCATAACGAAAAAGAAAATTGTACATGTTTTCATTGTATACAGTAGGAAAAAAAATCAAATGAATCAGAAATCTAAGTGTGCAAATGGAAACCATATAAATACTAGCAGAAGATATAGTGAATTCATCTATAAAATGAGAGTAGGTAATGCTTTTCCAATTATGACTAAAAATCCAGATGTGATAATGGAAAACATTGATAAATTTGTTTTCTTAAATCCATTTTTAATTGTGGGTATAGAGTAGGTATATATATTTATGGGGTACATGAGATAACTTTGATGCACCATGCCATGTGAAATAATCACATCATGGAGAACGGAGTATCCATCCCCTCGAGCATTTATATTTTGTGTTACAAACAATTCATTTACACTCTTAGTTATTTAAAAATGTACAAGTAAGTAATTATTGACTATAGACACCCCACCCTGTTGTGCTATTAAATAGTAGGCCTTATTCATTCTTTATATACTTTTTTGTACCCATTAACCATCCCTACCTCCCCAGTGAGTTCCCCACTACCTGTCCCATCCTTCTACTCTCTGTCCATGAGTTCAGTCATTTTGACTTTCAGATCTCAGAAATAAATGAGAACTTGTGGTATTTGTCTTTCTGTGTCTGCCTTATTTCACTTAACAGGATGATCTCTAGCTCCACTCCTGTCGTTGCAAATGACAAGATCTCATTCTTTTTCATAGTTGACTAGCACTCCATTGTGTATATTGTAAACCGAAAAGTAACTGAAACAAGTCTCAATCAATTTAGAAAGTTTATTTTGCTAAGGTTAAGGATGCACTCATGACACAGCCTCAGGAGGTCCTGACGACATGTGCCTGAGGGGGATGGGGTATAGCTTGCTTTTATACATTTTGAGGAGGCATAATGCATCAGTCAGTACATGTAGGATTCACACTGGTTTTATCTGGAAGGGCAGAACTCCTCGAACCAGGGTGTTGGGGGACTTCCAGGTCATAGGTAGATTTAAATGTATTCTGATTGGCAGTTCGTTGAAAGTGTTATTATCAGTAGAAAGGAATGTCTGGATTAAAATAAGGGGTTGTGGAGACCAAGGTTTTATGCAGATGAAGCCTCCAGGTAGCAGGCTTCAGAGAGAATACATTGTAAATATTTCCTATCAGACTTGAGGTCTGAGTTGATGTTAATGCTGGAGGGTGTAATGAGGCATGTCCAATCCCCTCTTCCGTCATGGCCTGAACTAGACTTTTAAGTTAACTCTGGAATCCCCTTGGCTGAGAAGAGGGGTCCATTCAGATGGTTAGGGAGCCATAGAATTTCATTTTTGGTTTACACTATGTACCACATTTTCTTTATCCATTCATCTGCTGATGGACACTTAGGTCTTAGCTATTGTGAACAGTTCTGCAACAAACATGGGAGTGCAGATATCTCTTCAATATACTGATTTCCTTTCTTTTGGGTATGTACCCAGTAGTGGGATTGCTAGATCATATGCTAGCTCTATTGTAGGATTTTGAGGAACCACCAAACTGTTCTCCATAATAGTTATGCCAATTTACATTCTCACCAACAGTGTATGAGAGTTCCCTTTTCTCCACATCCTCACCAGCATTTGCTTTTACCTGTCTTTTGGATATAAGCCATTTTAACTGAGGTGAAAGGATATCTCATTGTAATTTTGATTTGCGTTTCTCTGATGATCAGTGATGTTGACCATCTTTTCATATGCCTGTTTGCCATTTGTATGTCTTCTTTTGAGAAATGTCTATTTAAATCTTTTGCCCATTTTTTTATAGGATTATTAGACTTTTTCCCTGTGGAGTTGTTTGAGCTCCTTATACATTCTGGTTATTAATCCCTTGTCAGATGAGTAGTTTGCAAGTGTTTTCTCCTATTATGTGGGTTGTCTCTTCATTTTGTGAGTTGTTTCATTTGCTGTGTAGAAGCTTTTAAACTTGATGTGATCCCAGTTGTTCATATTTGCTTTGGTTCCCTGTACTTGTGGGGTACTGCTCAAGAAATTTTTGCCCAGACCAATATCCTGGAGATTTTCCCCAAATTTTTTTGTAGTAGTTTCATAGTTTCAGGTCTTAGATTTAAGTCTTGAATCAATTTTGATTTGATTTTTGTATATGACAAGAGGTAGGAGTCTAGTTTTATTCTTCTGCATATGAATATCCAGTTTTCCTAGCACCGTTTATTAAAGAGAACAGCATATGTTCTTGGCACCTTTGTTGAGAATGACTTCACTATAAGTATGTGGATTTGTTTCTGGGTTCTCTATTCTGTTGGTCTGTGTGTCTGTTTTTATGCCAGTACCATGCTGTTTTGGTTATAATAATTCTGTAGTATAATTTGAAGTCAGATAATGTGATTCCTCCAGTTTTGTTATTTTTGCTTAGGATAGCTTTGACTATTCTGGCCCTTTTATGGTTCCATATAAATTTTAGGATTTTTTTCTATTTCTGTGAAGAATGTCATTGGTATTTTGATAGAGATTGCGTTGAGTTTGTAGATTGCTTAGTGTAGTATGGAAATTTTAGCAATACATAAACCTGGAATATTTTTCAATTTTTTGGTATCCTCTTTAATTTCTTTCATCAGTATTTTATAGTTTAAATTATAGAGCTCTTTCGCTTTAGTTAATTCCTAAGTATTTAATATTTTTTATGACTACCATAAATGGGATTTTTTTAAAATTTCTTTTTCAAATTGTTTACTATTGGCATATAGAAATGCTACTGATTTTTGCATGTTGATTTTGTGTCCTGCAACATTACTGAATTTATTAGTTTTAATAGATTTTTTGTGACTCTTTAGGTTTTTCCAAGTATAAGATCCTATCATCTGCAAACAAGGATAATTTGACTTCTTCCTTTCCAATTTGAATGCCCTTTTTATCTTTCTGTTGTCTGATTGCCTAGCCAGGACTTCCAGTACTATGTTGAATTACAGTGGTGAAAGTGGGCATCCTTGTCATGTTCCAGATCTTAGGGGGAAGGCTTTCAGTTTTTCTCCATTCAGTGTGATACTAGCTGTGGGTCTATTGTATATGGCTTTTATTATGTTAAGGTATATTCCTTCTATCCCCAATTTTTTGAGAATTTTTATCACGATGGGATGTTGAATGTTATCAAATGCTTTTCGATATCATTTGAAGTGATCATCTGGTGTCCTTCATTCTGTTGATGTAATGTATCACACTGATTGATTTGCATATGTTGAACTCTCCTTGCATCCCCAGAGATAAATGTCTCTTGGCTACAATGAATGATCTTTCTAATGTTTTGTTGAATTCAGTTTGCTAGTATTTTGTTGAGGATTTTTACATTTTTATTCATCAGAGATATTAGCCTGTAGTTTTCTTTTGTTGATGTGTCATTGTCTGGTTTTGGTATCAGGGTAATACTGACCTCATAGAATGAGTTTGGAAGTATTCCCTCCTCCCCTGTTTTTTGGAATAGTTTGAGTAGGATTGGTATTAGTTCTTGTTTAAATGTTTGGTAGAATTTAGCAGTGAAGACATCAGGCCTTGGGCTTTTCTTTACTGGGAGACTTTTTATTATGGCTTCAATATTGTTACTTGTTATTAAGTTGTTTTAGTTTTAGATTTCTCCCTGGTTCAATCTTGGTACACTGTATATGTCTAAGAATTTGTCCATTTCTTCTAGATTTTTCAATTATTGGCATGTTGTTGGTCATAGTAGCCACCAATGATCCTTTAAATTTCTGCAGTGTTAGTTGTAATGTCTCCCTTTTCATTTCTGATTTTATTTGTATCTTCTCTTTTTTCTTCATCTGGCTAAAGGCTTGTCAATTTAGTTTAACTTTTAAAAAATCAACGTTTTGTTTCACTGATCTTTTATATTGTCTTCATTTTTATTTCATTTATTTCTGCTCTGATATTTATTATTTCTTTTTCCTCCTAAGTTTGGGTTTGGTTTGCTCTTGCTTTGCTAGTTCTTTAAGATGTGTAGTTAGATTGTTTGTTTGAAATTTTTCCTCTTTTTTTTTTTTTTTTTTTGACATAGGCACATATTACTATAAACTTCCCTTTTAGTACTCCTTTTGCTGTATCCCATAGGTTTGGTATGTTG